TTATAATTTCAAAAGATTCCAGTCTGAATTTTTAATTATTTTTCAAAACCACCCTCTAAAAAAGTTTTATTACGACTATCAATTTTGCCATTTTTCAACGACAAAAAACCCTTCCTGGTACATGGCTTTCGTTCTGCAAATGCTATTCCAGAGAAAGAGCAATCCTTGTTCTTTCAATTTATGAAATAAAATTTTGGGGCAATTCAAACGGCAAGTTTTGAGAACTGAAAACATTAACGGTACTTGCGTGAAATTTACAATTTTTGAACTTGCGGTTGTAATGACGAATACAATAGTAAAGTTGGACAGCAGTTTCAATTCTTCGCGAATTTGATCCTTTTCCACCAGTTCAAAAACTAAACAAACGATTATTGACTTCATAGTGGCAATTATCCGAAAGGAACAGCATTTTTATTGTGCGAAATTGAGCTGTAAACATCTTGACAACACTTCCCGTACGTGCGTATTTGTTTACTTTGAAGCCTGACGACTTGTGCCAGTCATTATCGCAATATTCTATAAATAACAAGTATGCATCAAAATGTTCGCATTTCGTCTGAAAGAAATCGTAAAAGCAATGACGGAAGAACAAGACAAACATTTACTCACCTCCAATATATATTTCTTTGAAAAAAGACCAAAGTCGCGCAGCTAAACTAGATTGCGTGACATTCTCTTTGACTAAAACAAGTAAGAAGGGGTGGGGGTTGGGGTTGGGTTCAAGGCAGACAAAACTTTCCCCAGTGCTTCTGATTGACCATGCATTCCTACCATAATCGCTAAGAAAAAGCTGCGTAGGCTTTCCAATATAATAATAATAATAATAAATTTGGGAGCAGGTGCCGATCTCTTGTTGGGAATTAAAAAAATCCCCAAATCCCAACCCCTTCCCCACCCAGTAGTTACTTATTACCTGGCACAAAATAGTCCAGTTTCGAATTAATCGCGGCCGCTGAATAGAAGCACTGAAGACTCATTTATACAGGGTTAGCCTTAGCCTAAAGTAAAATATTCACAAATACCAGCTAGAAGGTGCCGGAATTTCAGTATAAAACAATAGACACAGTTGTATACAAGTCTTCTTCTGACTGGATTTTGTGAATATATATTTACCTTTGATCGAGGCTCACCCTGTACAAATGAATGAACGCCTGGGAAGAAATAAGTGATGGAATAAGGATCTGAAGGAATTTTCCGGCACGGGATCCTGGCAGGCACAATTTTGAGCATCATACTATAACTGGGGCATCAGGCATAATGTTCGATACTGCAGTAGGAATATACAAAGTTGATAAAAGTCGTAGGCCTGATTTCC